AGCCGACGAAAGAGCCACAAATACTGGCTGTGCTCTGGAGCACAAATACACAGTCACATGAATGATGAAGTTCTGCAGTCTGGTTATGTCAAACAAGTCTTAGCTAACACTAACCAACAAAACTGGAAGGCTAGCTTGAGGTCAACACTGTGCTAACAGCTGCTCCACTCTGAGGAAACAACAGGAAGTAAGACAGAAATATTTTAGTTTAAGAATAAATGCGACTGCATGACTCAGCATTACTGTCTGCGTGGTGCTCACTACCAAGTGTTAACATTTGTTGGCTGTCACAGTCTGAACTCTGCGCTCGTCTCTCCCTCAGTTAGCAAAAGTAGATGAAAAAAAAAAGCTGTCATAAAACACTTCTTTTTACTCCAGCAGAGAAGAAGAAGCAGCGCTCTCTTTCTCTGCTGCCTCAGCCTGTAATGTGTGTGCTGGTGCATGAACGTGCACATATCTGTGTGTGTGTTGGATATTAAACTGGCGATGCGGCAACAGTTATGTCACCGACACACAGACACACACAGTTTCATGTTCAATTACACAGAGACTGCTCATTTCTTCTCCGTGGTTTATTTCCTTTACAGCTGCTGCCCGTCCATATGTCCAGCTTTTTTTCTCTTTTAATAAGTGGACGGAGCTCCCCGCCGTCCGCTTTAACCACGTCGTTGGTGAGCAAAAAGATGAGAAAATAGAAAAAAATAAAGAAGCAGCACAAGATGAAAGGAACATGTAAAAGCTTTCTTGATCCTCTGGACAGTTCAGAGAACACAGGAGAGGAAGCGTTTATTGTCTCAGGTCAAGGATTTTTACCTTGAATGAGCCCACAGGAAAAAATGGTCTCAGTGAGAGGACCCGAATATTAACCGACCATCTCCACCGGAGTGCAACAATCACATCCATCCACTTTCTGCTCCTCGCCAAGGAGATGTTCGGTTCCGTGCCCGAAACATGTCGACTGACTCCTTTCAATGTGGAGGAGCAGCCGCTCTACTGCGAGTCCCTCAAATGGCCGAGGTCCTCACCCTATCTCTGAGGAGAGCCCAGCCCTCCTTCAAAAGAAACCCGTTTCTACTGTCAGTATCTGCGACTTCATTCCTCAAGTTTTTATATCTGACACATCAACTTCTTCCAGTTTAGCTGGCGCTGTTTTTGACTTATCAGAAAAAGTACTTATCATCTGTATAATCTAACAGTGAAACAATATTTAACAGAACTAAGTATGTGTGTTTAGAAACTATCAACAGGGATCAAATGAAAAGAAAATTGAATCAAATGTTCTGCTGGAGGAGAAATGAAGGAACAAAGAAGGACGGACAGCTGTGCAGTCGTAGCTCTTTCTTCTCCACAGTCTCAGCAGCGTTTTCCACATGGAAAAGATTTATATAAATCCTATAAAGTTTGTTTCTGTCTTGTGTGAAACTTGCATGAAAAGCATACAAGAGTGAAAACAGATATAAGATCCCTTGAAAAATTATATAAATGAAACTTATATGTTTTTGGCTACTTGGGGCGACCGTGGCGCTGGGGGTTGGGAAGCGCATCTGTAACCGGAAGGTTGCCGGTTCGATCCCCGGGCTCTCTGTCCTGGTCGTTGTGTCCTTGGGCAAGACACTTTACCCCTGTCATATCACGCCATCGGGCCGATGGCATATGGCAGCCTCGCTTCTGTCAGTCTGCCCCAGGGCAGCTGTGGCTACAACTGTAGCTGCCTCCACCAGTGTGTGAATGAATAGTGACATTGTAAAGCGCTTTGGGTGCCTTGAAAAGCGCTATATAAATCCAATCCATTATTATTATTATTACTTACTAAAACAATATATGAAAGTAATGAGAAAGTGGCCACTTTCATGAGTAAATCATATAAGCCTTCTATGATTCACTATATGAAGTAGGCCACATCTGATGCAAGTCTTTTATAAGTTTTTTCTATTTCTTTTCCATGTGGGTTACTCTGATCAGCTTATTGAAGTTCTCTCAGACATTTAGAACATGTTCACTCGTGCTGTATCAAACTGAGTAAATAACATTCTGCTGTGTATGGTTACATGTGGCCATCAAATCAAATCAGCCCTGTATGAGATCAGCGGCTGTGATTGGCCCTTCGCCAGCGAGGGCGGGTGGAAATCTGTCTAAATGGAAGGAGTGCAGGTCGGACTCTGCAGAGCTACAGCTCATAGATCTTTGTGGTTTTCCTCACTAGAAAAAAGTGAAAACATCTTCAGATCCTGGACAGAGACAAAGAAAACATTCCTAAAAATCCTTCAAATGAGAGTGAAAAAAACCCTTTACAACATGGAAGGACAGGACATGTCAGACTGAAGGAGGAAAAGGTGAAAGGAGACGAGGAGGGCAGGGCTCAGAGGAGGATGAAATGATGGAGGGCTGAAAACACTTCACTGTAACTACTCTGCTTTCAGCAGGCTCTCACATCTGTAAGTCTGTATCCATGGCAACAACACAGAGAGACAATTATGGGATGAGTCAGATTTGATAACTTTTTATCTGTCCATGTGTTGAATAAGGTTCGAACACGCTGGCAAGTTCATTTATGTAATAAATGGCGAGGTTAGTGAAGTCGTACACATGTGTTTGTGGTGTACACACACACACACACACACACACACACACACACACACACACACACACTAAATAGGCAGAGCTGAGCCTGTGGCTGTGAGTCGTCCACCAGCAGCCAAGCAGAAAATAGGCTCTCAACACTGCGTTTACTGAGAGGTACAAGCTGAGAGTACAGAGAGCAGGAACAGAAGAAGAGACGGAGTAATGAGAAGTAACCCGACGACGAAGAGGGGAAAGGAAGAGGAAAGAACGAGGCAGGAAAATAGGGAGAAGGAGAGCACGCTTGCACAGAAGCTTTTTCTCTCATGTGAAAGGTCATTCCAGTTTCCTCACATAACTTTACTCCAGGCCAACTTTTTAAATTCAGTCTTTACCTTAGTCCAGATTTCTTATAACATAAAATCCAACTTTTCCTCTCTAACCTTTCTTTTCAGTTTTTCTGTCACATGAATTTGAATTAGTCAGAACCATTTCAGTCCACTGCTGCTTAGCCATCCATTTTCTTCTGCTTTTTCAATTCAGGGTTGTCATGGTTGGGGAGGGGTGGAGCTTATCCCAGCTGGCATGGAGTGAGAGGTGGGGTAGACCCTGGACAGGCCCCGGCCTGTCGCAGGGCTTTGTAGTATTTAAATCTGTATTTTATGGAAAAGGCTGGTTAAGTCATTCGTTTCAGACACTTTGAGAATTCTTCCAGTTGCAGTATCCAGTCCTTCAGTCTGATTCTCCTCTTTTTCACACATTTCTAAAGAGTAAATAATTGAGCCTGAAGTCAAAAAGAAACGAACGAGTGAATTCGGATTTCTGAAAACCATTTTTCTTTCTAACTACTTAAACTATTACTGCAGTCTGACTGAAGCCTGACTGTTGATTGACTGTTCCATTTCATCCCCAGCAGGGACCCTCCTGTTTGTGCAGACGCTGAGAGTGGACGTAAATCAGAGCTGAGCTGGAGGCGCTCGGCCTCAGGAAATCCCCTCTGCCTCCAACAGACAGCCAGTGTCCTCAGCAGATGTCGAGGAGCAATAACATCAGACAGACTGCACTGCCGAGGCAGACAGCCATGCACTATTACACCACATAGACTTCCAATAACACTTCCCGGGTAGATGTAAAAGAGGCAATAAGATTAGACAGTCTGCTGCCGATTGCCAAATGGACTATAACAGATCACGGGCTGCGGGGGGACACTCGGCCTGGCGCAGGAGGGAGGGAGGCCGACCAAGCTAACAGACCTTTTTTGGTCAATTCTCCAAAGGTTGTTGTTTGCTTGAACCAAAGAGCTGGAGGTGAAGTTTTCAGGACACAATCCAAAGTTTGTGTCTGCACAAGTGAATCTTTCAGTAGTCAGACAAACACTGAGTTCATGTTCAGCAGCCTTAAGTCAACCACAGAGACGACTCCTTTTTTTGCAGCTCGTTATGATCAGCTGAAATTGCACACGTGGCAGATGTTGTTCACTATTGTCACGTCTACAGTTTCAGATGGTCTAAAGTCTTTGTCTGTATGAATGCAGAGCCTGAGGACGAGGCTGCAAGCATCTGCAGTGATCTTCTCCTAAAAGCGCAGGCAGCTGCAGCTAGAAGGCGGAGTGTGAAACTGTGTCACACATCAGAAGAAGCCATCGGAGCGACACGCTGATTTACTGGAATACACATCTGTAATTACAGCCATGGCGCCGCGTGCCTGGATGATAGCGCCGTGAAAGCGATTAGCCTATTAGCTTTCATTGAGCACACTGAGCTCTTTCCTTCCTGACTGTTAAAAATAAAACGCCGTACAACACTTCCCTCGTCACGCACACTCACACACTGCTGCTTTGACTGTTGATTGATGTCTCACATATTTTGCTAATATCACAGATTGATCTTCTTTTATGAAATCTGCTGCCAGTGGACCCGTCCGTGTTTGCGTTTGGTCAGAACGATAAGGTCTGCGTTAATTCATCGAGTTGACAACCAGCTTCTTCTTGTTTCTCTATCCTGGATATGCTGACCCTGAATGCTTCAGTGTCAGACCAACCAGACATATTTTCCCCTTTTTCTGTTTGCTGACATGAGAAAACTTCAGACTTACCGCAATGTTACCGTAACTCATTGTTTGTCATTTCTAAAGCTTTGGTTTTGTAATGAAATAAAATAATCTTCCAGGTATCTATTTTTGTTTTTATACCCACCGAGAGCATCACGTTAACATTAGAACAAATTGATTTCTAAATCCAGGTTTCTCTTACTTTCAGTTCTCCACTCAGACTAAAGAGTCTGAGAACATCGAGAACGAACAAACACGTGCTCTTTAACCCCGCCCCCTCCTCAGACCCGCACACTTTGCTCAGGAGTAATGTTGCACTGCTTGCTGAACAGGCACTCCAACACGAAGCTTGATACAGAGAAACCATTTGTGCTGCATGCTGGCGTCCTCACCTGATTCAGAGCTGTACATGTAGACGAACCTGGTCCAGTAGAAGTGCTCGAGCAGGGCCATGAGGGGCTCCTGCAGCTGGGGCCGCAGCTGCAGGACGAACTGGTTGTTGGTCTGCACGGGGAAGGACGGCGTGACGAAGCAGACGTGCAGAGACCCGCAGAAGGACATCAGCATGTTGACCGTCCGCCGGTCGTACAGACCCATGATGGCGTACACTCCCTTAGAGAACTGTGAGCAGACTGGTACAGAAACACAGAACAAGAGGGTTTCATTAATGTTTATTTAGATCATTTTTGAATGCTTTAGTCCGTCTGCCATTTGGAGCCAAACTAACAAATCCCAACATCTACTGGAACAAAGTTTCCACAAGTGTGTTTATTACATGTCTGACAAAAAAATCTTTACAGCTCATATAACTGAAGTAACATTAAACACATAGACGTGGTTAGATATGACTCCAACATACTGACGATGTTTAATATACCAAGATCTGAAAAGGGGAACAAATTTGACTCAGACCATGGGCCTTGAAAGGATGGGGGGCAGTGGGTTATTGCCCCAACACCCCACTCCCACATCTTTTCTTTTCTTTTGTTTAATGAAACTAAACGTTGCTCAAAACATGTGACCTGATTTAGACTTCTGTGGGAAATCTACCCTTAACCTTCCACAGAACCTGACGTGCACCTCCTGAGAAATATGACCACACATCAGGTCGACGTGGTCGCCATGGAATGTAACGGCGTATGCGGTAAAGGGGTTACATGTAGTTACATGATAACTAAGAATGTAGAGTTTCTGCAGAATAATCAGTCACAAGTGATCATGTCACTGTCGTTAGCATTTCTCTTCCTTTTTGTTGCTGAATATTAATCAGTGGACTCTTATTGTTATCCTCAGTGCCCCAGCATTTGTGTCTTTTCTGACACATTTACTCAAAAATAAAACAGGCCATTATTCCATTATTTACATCACCAACTACAACAAAAAAACTGTGTTGCTAGCTAACATCAGAGGAAAGTAATGTTTACATCCTGTCACATGGTCACAGCCACGAGTCTTTCGTTAGACGTAGTAACAGAAACGTTTCTCAGCAGAAGGAAAAGCCTTCTAACACGACGCTGCTCCTGGAGGTTTATGGAGTTTGTTTTTTTTACTTACTGGGTCACGATTTCTGGAAAGAGACAGCAACGCTGCCATTTTTAATTTTCGTCCCACAAGGCAATACCATTTAGTTCAATTACATTCAAGAGAAGACAGACATCTCTGACAAACTGGGCATCTCACATCAAAACAATCCAGAATAAACAGAAGTGAATGAAAAACACTACAGACCAGAGTGTTTGGGGAGAACTGTCCCTTTAAAGGCCAGCTGTCTCTCTCGTCCCACATCTGCTTCATTTTGCTTCTGTGCCTTCGGCCGGAGGTTACAGAGTGCCGGTGCTCATAGTAATGCCTACCTTCCTGTGACCTGTGAGTTCACTGGCTGTTTGCAAACCAGCGTGACATCAACAGTAAAAACCTCGTCATCTGCCTCCATCCTCTGTCACTAGGAGTCCCTCCATCCTCTGGCCTCTCGCTCACCTCCCGTTCTCTTCCCTCGCACTTACTCTCTCTCTCTCTAATAATGCCATTTGTCTCATTGTCTGTCTTGTTTTTAAGCTCCAGTTGTCCATAAATCCAGGTCAACAAACAATCCACGAGTAAAATCTAGCTCGTACACTTTATTATGACTCCTCAGTCACACTGTGCTTCATTTTGACTTAATGGTGCAAAACCGTGACAGCTTTTTTCCTTCTTCTTAGCGTTATCTTGTCACATTCGGGTCGCCTTTCTTTGGCATTTTTAACAGTCTTCTTCAAACAAACATGAACACTTCTGAATATGCTGAACTCTGCCATTTTTCATGCATGTTTATTGTTTTATCAGCGCTTCCAGTGGGTTTTCTTCCTCCCATCAACACAGAACAGCCCAATCTCCATGTGGTAATAAGCTAACAGATGATAAAGTGTCCTTATCTTCATGGTAAACAGACATCATCTCTGCAGCTGACTTATCTGCCGCTGTGTAGCTGATGAAGAGCAGCTTCCTGTTTCACACAAAGCGCTCCCACATGCTAAATCCCCGTACACACAATAGCTCTAATCAAATTACTCTGAGATCCTTCACAGTCAGGGATTAAGTCTTAAGACAAAATAATACTCACTGCTGAGGCTCCAAAAGTCATTCTGTAAATCACTGGCTCATTTTATGGTCCTCCCGGATTTAGACTGAATCAAAACATGTCCATATTTGTGTGTCATCACCCAGAAAAATCCCCATTTAGGCTAAAACAAGTGAAACCTGAGAGGAAAGAAGGAAAGAAGGAGGCATCTACACCAGTGAGCAGCAATATTAAAACCACCTGTGCCAATGTTTTGTTACACCCCCTCTCTATGCTGCCAGATCAGTCCTGATCTGCAAAGGTACAGACTGCACAAAACTGTGACTGCATCATGACCTCTTTTGTACCAGCTTGGTGGTGGACCTTTGGTTGCCTCCATAGTTCAGGCTTGTTCATATACATCCCTTTGAGGCCTGATTTGATTGGAATCTGGGGAGTTGGAAGGCTTTTGACACTAATCGGGAGAGAGACGACTGCCATCGGGGAGTGCTGCTGCTAACAGGGCATGTAACTCAGCAGATTTACAATCTAAGTTAGGTCTGCAAGAAGCTCAGTGCTGTGCACTTCTCACTTCTTTTAATGTTTTGGCTCATTCACAAAGCATAACTGCCAGTACACTCAACTTCAAGCTAAGCACTTGGACCCAGTACTTGGTCTTCCTACATTGGTAGCTATAGAGGTGCTTTAGGTGTGATGGTTATTAACTTCAAGCTTTCTTCCTGACATAATGATAATGATAATAATAATGGATTGGATTTATATAGCGCTTTTCAAGGCACCCAAAGCGCTTTACAATGCCACTATTCATTCACTCTCACATTCACACACTGGCGGAGGCAAGCTACAGTTGTAGCCACAGCTGCCCTGGGGCAGACTGACAGAAGCGAGGCTGCCATATCGCGCCATCGGCCCCTCTGGCCAACACCAGTAGGCGGTAGGGTAAAGTGTCTTGCCCAAGGACACAACGACCAGGACATGACTGTTTGTCAGAGCTGGAGAGTATTTAATCATTACAGGCTTTTGTCTATGGCGCTGACACTGATCAAGTGAAAACCTGAGACCCAAATGCATAAATATTGAACCCTGTATGACATTCAGCTTCTCCAAGTGTAAAAGGAAACTATCTGACCTATCAGTTGATTGGGGCTACAGCATTTGGCCAATCTACTGTTTGAGTTTGAGCTGAACTTTGTTGCCATGCTGGTTCCTCTGGTAGTGGTTCATTGATGTTATGTGTCAAAGTTAAAAACAGTGAGAGTTCAAAAGTTCATACACGGCAACAGACATCTGTTTGTAATTCAGTAACCTATTTTTTAGTGTTGGCCTTTTTCTAAACAGTTTACGATGATGACCTTCCAGATGGTTCTGCATAACAAACATCTGGTGCGTCAGGTTAGTGAAACATCAACCCCTCTTTTGGCAGTAATTGACCTATAAGCTTGTGTAATCGCTATACATTTACAGATATAAAGCAAATATGGTTAAATCTCCAGGTTGTCTCACCCACCCACACTGGAAGTAAAGCTATTCGGATGCATTCAAATTCAGAGAACAACTGTTAATTAATAGGTTCTTCAGTCTTTCTTCCAGCCGTGGAGCTGTTGATTCAATATGCTTTTGTTTCTCCTGAGTAAACTTCTTAATAAATGGTCCACAGACTGACCAAAACTCAAAAAAGAATCCACTTTTTGCAGTTTTAAAATCAAACTGCTGAAATGTACTTATTCATCTGTTTTTTTGTTTCTAAATTTGCTAAATCGCTGCCAAACTGCTAATCAATGAATCAGTATTGGATCAGACACATAGGTGCTGACAGATGTCCTCGTCTACTTTCTTTGTGAATGTGTGTGTGTCCTTGGTGCAGATCCCTGAGGCCAGCGCTAACATGCTAACAGCAAGACCATCTACCCTTAGCAGACTCACACTGGAAATAACCATCCCCTGTGGGGCCATGCTATCATGCTAACAATAGATGTTTACCCTCAGGCAAATGCTATCAGTGCTAACGAGGTATCTGTCTCTTAGCATTAGCGCTGCTGTCCAACTGGGACGACAGGCGGGTCCTTCATCAGAGGGGGTCGGGCAGCACAGAGTTGACAGATGCTGCGAGCCTTGGGAAGCTTTGTAGTTAGTTGTGTTTAAATTAAAGCCAACATGATGGGAGTCCAGATGTTTAACCTATGGGATTAGCCAATGAAGTGGTTTCTAATTTATGTAGCATTACACAAATAGCTGTCTTTGTTGATTTAATGAGCTCAGTTTGTGCTGTTTTTTTCCATAATGATTTAAAATTCATGTCATATTTTGTCTCTTTAAATGTATGAATATTCTTTTTTTTAATGCCTTTTATAAACTGTTGCATAAAATACCAAATGTGGTTGTCGTCAGTGTAACTATTTTTCCTTTTGTAAGTAAGTAACCAGGAGAAATGTCAAACGTGAGACTCTTTCTTGACCCGGTCATTGATTTCAAAGAGTTTGAGATTGAATGCACAGCAACACAACAATCTTTTTTCAGCTTTGTAGGGGTTAAAAATCAGCCTGCAGAGTGTTGAATAGCGGTGTGAAGACATGCTTGCATTCAGATTCTTTAAACTTGGCAGAGCCAGGCACATTCCCTTTTTTTGGCCTTAATGTTGATGCTGCCTTTATGTCAAATGGGACATTTTTTTAATGTGAGTTTTGCCGTTTCAGTCTATTTTTTTAATATAGACAATGATCCAGTTTGAGAATATACAATGCAAACAAGCTGTCGTCGTTCTTTCCAAAACGATTCAGTTCCTCTGATGATCGAGAGGAGGTCAGTGATGTGTGACAGGATTTTGGTGAGACTACGGCGCATAACGTGCAGGTTTTAGTTAAACATGAGTTGCAACGATTTTCATGAAATCGTCCAGCTCGGGTGATTTTAATCGCACTTGAAAATCATTTGGAAAAATGTGTTATTTTGTGCAATTTATGACTTTTCTATGTTTATTTTAACTGCAAGCTTGAATCAGCTAATAGTTTCCAGCTATATCAAAGTCAACAATTCAACGTTGCGTACACACCCAAATACTCAAACACACGGCTCAAC